TCATTAATGAGTAGTGTTTTCATACCGGAAGCGACGGCACCCGTAATACCGGTCAACGAGTCCTCGACTATCAGTATATTATCGTAAGACTCGGGCGGAGTCGCGAACCTCTGGGCGCACACGTAGTATACATCGGGATGTGGTTTCTTAAGCACCACTTCCGGGTCATCCCAACCGCACACACTATGACTGAAATACACGCCGTCGTCGAGAAAGCCGTCAAACTTTGGGACCATTCGTGTTAAATGCGACCGACTATTGCCAGTGGCTATAGCTATGGGCACGTTATGGTGGTGTAGGTGCCGAACCAACCGTTCCACACCCGGTATTAGTTCAGCTTTTTTCACGTATATTTGTCGCGTGAATTCCGCGTGAATTTCATTTCGTGAGTCCCGGAGCTTATTGTCAGGTATGCCGAGTGAATCGATCACTCTGTCATAGAATTTAGCAAGGTTGTCCAGGTTGGCCACACCCCCTGATTTTCAAAAGTTATGAATGTCATATTAATTGATATCTAAAGACTAAACTAACAGAGGACTTGCAAATTAATATACAGTACTTATATTTACGTGATTAAATAAAATGTCAATATTGTTTGTAAAATGTGTTTGTAAAAAGTTTCCGTTTAATAAATATTTAATTATCTAAAAAATTAATTATATTACTAATTTAAATTCTTTGTAAAACGCTTTGCCTTTGAACTAGACTAACTAATACTGTACTAATTTACCTTTAGTATCTGGCATGTAATTTATTAATAAATAACAATTGATAGTTTTAGAAGTAAAATAAAATATTAAAATAAATTAATTATATCTAAAAATTCATTAACTAATTAATTTAATTTACAAAATATAAATAAATCAATCTTAAATAACTAAATTATAAATCAATTATTTACAGTAACAATAATTTAATATTCAATGATATTTACGACTACTTACTGACGATATCATGTGATAATACTTTGCCATAACTTTGTGCAAACTCTTTGAATATTTCAATTAATATATCGATTGTATTGATGAGAGTTCCGTCCAAATCAAACAATACATGAGTTATCGGTTGAGGCATTTGTCTGTTTTATTTAAAATAGCCTGGCTATTATTGCATTAAATAAACTCTTACTAGACTAAAACTATTAAAATCTATACAAACTAGCGCCTAGTTACTAGAGAATAGTAAAGTGTTTGTTTTAAAGTCTATTTAATTTACAACTTTCCTTAAATTTAATCTACAAAGTCACCAAAAATAAATTTAATTTATTAAACATTATCTTAAACATAATTCATTTAAAAATATTTTAGATTAGATATTGAATATCATATAAAATATTTTTATAACTTTACAGACAGGTATTGCCAATATTAAACATTAGTGTTGAGTGCAATACTAGTAAAGCAATTAAAACATCTCCATAAATGGTATAAAGGTAAACATTAAAATTGTCAAAAACTTTTAACAACCAATTAGATTATATAAATAAAATTCATTTATTCTTTTAATAGTATATTTCCTTGAAATTATATCTTTATATATTTAGTGCTAAAATTTTATTTTATATAAAGATTGAAAACTCACAAAATTATTTGTAAATTAATTAATTTATGAAATAATAATTATTTTGATATAATAGAATATAATAAATAATAATGTCTCTTTAACAATTCAATAATACATATTCAATTATTATGTATAGATTATTTAGTATTTATATTAAATAATATAAATTAAATTAATGTTGTCAATGCTATAATAATTAATTTACTTTATTAAGATTTATCAAAATTACAAAATATTTTAAATTTATTATAATTATACAAAATTTAATTTAATTTAACAAAAATATAATACTGTTTATTAGTTCTTATATAAATTTACAATAATAAAAATTTTGTTAAATAAATAAAAATTTTAATAATAATCATATCAAGAAAGGTATATTTAAAAACTTTAAACCTTTATTATTTTATAATGTTAATTCATATTTTATTACACTAAAATACCATGATATAATTTTATAGTTGTAATAAATATAGATCTTTAATAAAAACTAGTTTTTACTGTAATTACTTCACAACAATAGCTGCAATCTCCATTCACAATACAACATTGCGGATATTGTCCAGGGCAACAGTACGTTAGATTACATGGAACATCGCATATGTAGCACCCAGCTGGAACATTGCTACTTGAAGTCGTTGCTAATTATGTTAATAATTTTAAATTTTAAACAAGTTTATAATCAAAATTATAAAAATTATTAGGTTATTTGAATTAGTAGTGAATAAATGTGTTTAGAAATAATGTTATTTAAACTGTTGATAATGATAATCTAATTTTAACAAGATCTGGATAGTTTAATGTAATTTGGATACATGTTTATACTGGTAATTCAAGTTTCAAAATATACACGATTAAGTAAAATCCCTAAATAACTTGCTTAATTATGTTTAGATATTTCAATGTATATAATTTTTAAATTAAAAATTACTCTCAAAATTATAGAACATAATACCATTTTGTTAAAAAATTATAAAATAACATTTTGTTAAATATTATAAAATTAAAAATAGTTATATTTGCTGTTACTATAAATTAAAAAGGTATTTTAGGTCAAACTTGAAATGTCTAAAATTATTTATGTAATTAAATGAGTCTATTAAATAATTTTAATTTGTTAAATAATATTGATATAAAATTTAGCAACTATACATTATGAAATACAAATAGAGATACTATAAATGTGTAACTCAAAATTATTAAACCTTTATTGTTTAATTTAGTTTACTTGATCAAATAGTTTAATTTGTATTAATTTATAAATATTTTCTGTTTCTCTTAACGATTATATAGTAAAATACAAAATTAATTTTATTTTTATAATTCATTAGTTTTGACTATGTTTTGAAATAATAATATTTAAACTTATAATATAATTTTCACAACATTTGGATAGTTTAGTAAAATCTGATTGAACTAATAATTTTATATATAGTAAATTATTCTTTATTAGGTTTACAAATTAATTATTAATTAATTACACGTTTAAATATTTTTAAAAGTTTTATACGAATATAATAAATGTTAAAAATATTGTTAACGTCTACTGAATAATCGGAAACTCAATGCCCCGATCGGGACCTTTTGGTACAATAGGGGGTCGCGTGGACTCAGTCGACCCCCCGGATAGGTATTGATAACTAAAAGTGTATAAATTCTTCAATTTCATTATTGATTTGTATTCTGGATTGTCTAATAAATGGTCCCGATTCAAACTCCAATCGCTTGTTGATTGCAAAATATCTCTACAATTAGGTCGTTTGCTAGGAATGAGCATAGTCATTTCATTGAGATATACAGTTAAATATATAAAATACGCATAAAAGTCCGAATTGGAATATTTATCAAGATCATTATCCCTAAAAGAATAATTAATTTTTAAATAAATTAATATTTTAAAACAAATATTATATAAATTATTAACTGGATTGTTATATAATATAAAATTTAAATATATATACTGTTTACAAATACTTACTCATATATGCTTATATCAAATAATTTATAAGCAATGACCCCGATACTATAAATATCTGCTTTGGTGGAATAATTGCTATTTAATTTTACTTCGGGTGCCATATATCTAATTGTGCCAACTCCCTGTATATGATTATTACCAGCACCGGTATGCAGTGACGCCAAACCGAAATCACTTATCTTGACAACACGATCATCTTTAACAACTCTGGCCATCAATATATTGTCGGGTTTGAGGTCTCTATGAATGATTTGTGGATTAATTTCATGCAAATACTGAACACTTTCTAAGATCTCTCGGAATATTCTGCACGATATGTGATACTCAACGGCACCCATCGGTTCACCAGAGGTTCGGTGGAATTCTTTGGGTAATACTTGGAGTATATCTTTAAGACTATCGGCACACAACTCCATTTGAATGTAGAAAATTGATTTAATCTCATCATGCCATGAGTCCAAGTATTGTACCACATAGTCCGATCGCACAGTTATTAGATAATCAATCTCTTTTGATAATAATTTATATTCTGATTTGTCTAAAAATGTATATAATTTGTATAAACTTTATCATTGTTTAACATAGTTACCTTTATACATAATTCGTTTAACAGCGAATTCATCACCGTTACTCCTTTTCTTAACTTTAAACACGGTTCCAAATGATCCAGATCCTAGTTTATTTAGCTCTTCAAATAATGATTCCTATTCATGTTCATAGCGGGTAACATCTATATTTCGAAATATATACACGATTAAATCAAAACATCAAATTAAAAACTGACCAAATGAACATTTCTTGATTGTATCAAACATTTCGGAAATAAAATTAAGACATTTTCCAATGAATTCTGCCTTAGTAGAATAGTCGTGTTTAATAAAATCGGTCAAATTAACTGTGCCTGGTGTTAATTTTATGGCAGGTTCATTAAAACCAAATTCACAAAATGTTTTAAAATGTGAATTATATAAAGCTCTCGTTGGAATTATCCTATGTACATTTCCATTAATATACCCAATTAGCCACTGAAATCTCTTTTTATCATTATACGATTGAAATAGGTGAAGTTTATGATAAGTTGGTATTGTGTCCTTAAACATAACTAAAACAGGTGAGTTTGTAATCAAATTTAATTCGCTTTTAGGTGTAGTCTGCCCGGAATAATAAATATGCCCATGGTGGGATAGGAAATATGACCCGTGGCGATTACGCATTGTATACTTTTTAAATTTTCAATCAACCTTGGTGTAAAATTATTAATTGTCGATTTATAACCTAAATTATTAAAATGATTGACACCCCAACTAAAAACCTGACCATCCTTTGTTATCGCAAACGACACATAATTGTTTGCATAAACGCTCTCAATTTTTAAGTCATCTGGGAATTTTAATTTAATTGGCTCCGTTGTATTTTCTAAACCAAGTTGACCACATCCTAGCTGTCCAAATGAGTTATCACCCCACGCACACACATGGCCATCATTCATAAGGGCTAGTCCATGATAATTGCCACAGATTATTTGTGTAACATGCTTATTGTTTAAGAAATCAATCATTTCTGGCTTTAGATAAAAGTTGCTAGGAGATTTTGCTAGCTGGCCATAGTGATTTACACCCCATCCATAATACCTATCATCAGCCGTTATTGCAAATATAAAATTAAAGTCCGTGACAAAATTTATAACATCGACCCTGCATAATTCTTTAATAATACGTGGGGTATTAATTGGTCTGTTATGTCCCAGGCCAATTGATCCCCAATAGTTAGCTCCCAACCCATAAACCAAATTATCCTTTGTTATAAATAGCATATTATATCCAATGAAATCATCGAATACGTGAAAGGACTTTATTTTACGGATAATATCTTTCTCGTATATGTTTGAATCTAAATAATGTTAATAAATTATTCATATTAATTAAAGTTTATAATTAAAATAATAAAATAATACTGTTAACATACCATAAATTGGATCATTAATAGTGCCAATTGTATTTTGAATAATTTGTGTACATTTAATTCGAAAATCTTCATATGATTTATATTGATAATTTGTATGGCAATCTAAATTTATAGTTTTGAATGTTATATTATTCGTATGGAAATAATAATCCATAAAACTCCAATGATCAGTTTCCATTAACTTAGATGTGCTTGATATACTATAAATTTTCTCACCAATTAACATTGTCAGAAAATAATTATAAGTTATTGCGAGCTGAATCTCCTTGACATTCTTCACAGTATTTATTTGTTTAGGAATTTTATTAACAGCTAGCTCAATATTGTTATCTTTAAAATGACCACACATAAATAAATGACCCTTATTGTCCAGGAAATATGTCTGGTAATTTGCCGAACGAATTGTGTGTATATCATATAAATTGCATATCTTTAATGGTACCAAAACATTATCACTTAATTCATGCCCTAAGTTGTGGTCATTACGACCCCAACTAAAAACCAGCCCCTCAATGGTAATAGCGAATGAAGAGTGAGCGCAGCAATATATTGTCTTGATCATATAATTATTTGGCAGGATTATATTTTGAGGCTCATGAATTAACTTGACATAATTACCAATGCCAATTTCACCACTACAATTACAGCCCCACCCATAGGCCATACCATTTTCAGTTAAAGCTATTGCATGATTATACCCGCAACTCAATTGACAAATGACCATGTTGTCAAAATAGTTGATATATTTAGGTAATAAATATCCAGGTCCTGGTTCTCTTGCTAATTGTCCCGCGTTATTTAGACCCCACCCAATTATGCCATTTTGCGTATTCAATGCTAATACAAAATCAAGTCCAACAATAAATTTGTGAATACCTTGATTACATAGTTCATGTATAATTTGTGGTGATTTAACCAGGTTATTATGTCCCAGTCCTAGAGTGCCGTACAGATTAGATCCCATACCGTATACTAAATCATTGTTTGTTACGAATAATAAATTATAACCATTTTCGTCATCAAACACATGAAATATATTAATAGTTTTTATAATATCTGGGTCGTTTAGTAAATTCATTATTTATTTTAATTTATTTAAATTTTAAATTTTTAACAATATCATTCAAAATTAAATAATAAACTAATATATGTTAATATAATAATAAGATAATAAACAATTATTGTAAACATTATGAACAAATTAAGTTAAAATTAACATAGCTACGTTATAATGTTTTATCAATTTCACTTAGCGATGGATAATTGAATGTAAATGTTTATTTAGTTGAGTAGATAAACTTAACTTGTAATTATATAAAATTAATATAATAATTTACTTTAAATTTATAGTAAGTTTATTAAAATAAAAATACAATTAAATTATAATTATAATTTAATAGAAAACAATTCATATTTTAAATTGAAACTCCGTATTTAAACATTGGTGCAATTTATTTTGTTAGTTGTTTTTAAAAAATCATACCATATTAGTATTATTCTTGGTTATTATGCAAAATATAATTTTGGTACAATAATAGCTAATAAAAGTGTACTGTACCTGATCAATTTGTGCAACAATAACCGCACTTTCCGTTTGAAATACAACATTGCGGGTGCGACCCTGGACAGCAATAATACAATACACTGTATAGATCACATGGATAGGTGCATATGTAGCACCCAGGTGGAATGCTACTAGGTTCTTGAGCGTGAGTCATTGCTGTTAAATTCATAAATAAATATAAACATGGTCAATAAGTATTGCAATGGAAGTTTGTTTAATATCTCGCTTATTAGTTATAGCATAAATATATACTCTGGCACACTTAAAGTTCACCTTTTTGATAATTTGTGGATGAGTTAACTTTGACCTCGCTGTAAACTGCGTTGACAAATATCGATCCATTGTATATAGCTATTTTACACCAAAAAAATATTAGTAATCATAATAGTAAAATTAACAGATAAAAAATAAGTTTAACCAAATATGTAGAGTCCTAGAACAAGTATTATAATTTTCAAACTCATTTTGCAATTACTGTATGTCATCCAGTAAATGTAACAATATTATGAAAATTATTTTGTAGAAAAATACAATTATTGAGATCGATTTATATACCTAGAATATGCTTAATAATGATTTTATATCCTGTAATTTTATGACCATGTTAATTAGATTAATAAAATTGCTCAATTAGTGACTTGTAATTTTAATGTGATTAAAACAGGTAAGTCATTGTTAAATTTCAAGTATTATATCATAATTAATATTAAAGATACAAATCGTTACGTAGTATGCTATAAACCAAACAATGAATTTGACAATAATTTTATATGTAACTAAAATTGCAGCGTTAATTGCATTTATTAACGAATACATTATTTGTAGTGAATTACTCGTGTTATTGTGTAAAACACTACCACGATAATATTGTGAACTGTGGTTAATATAGAATAAGTTTTTTCATACCATAAATATATGAAGTTCATGATCTGGACACAAATGAAGAGTTTCCCGGGATAGGTGTCCATCAAGACTGCCATCCAGTACCTCAACGAATGTGTGGACAGGTATGCGGATGAATGCTTTGAGTGCCGACTCTATGGACAATGACTTCAAATCCCTTAAAACTTATTAATTTTAAAATATGTAAAAATATTTATTTTAAAACTAATTTTTGTTGACTTTAATTGCATTTCATATTCAGATTAAACACAAAATAAATTACTTATAAACTGATTACTTGTATATTCTCTACATATTCATGAATGCAAATACAAATCAATTTATTAGAGGTTTGGGATGGAGGGAGGGGACGGGTAGTCGTGAACAGACAATAAAATATAAATGAGTGGATGGCTACTCGGGTTGGGTGGCGAAGGCAACAGTAGTTTTTAGCTATCGTTAGAGTCATCGACAATGGGATGAGTGTTGACGAGTCCAACCACCTGTTGGACGACCCCTCTGAGGGTGGGGGCAGTGGGTTTGGGGGACTGTCACCGCCTAACCTCTTGGGGTTTATCTCCTTGTGCTGGTCGACATCATCACGACCGGCGCTTACACGACAACACCGGACGGGTAGTCTGCGTCCCATTTGGCGCTGCCTTTCAATATCTCCCGCAACCCGTAGTCGATAGCACCGTTCAGTTGGGCCTTTTCTTTGAGGGCGCCCTACAGGTCGAGGGGAACGGTATGTGTATTAGTGATCAGCAGTCAGTCATTGGTTTTAATTGCAAATAGAAATCAAGTAATCATTTGATAGTAACTATCGATACAAATGGTGTGCAAAGAGTGCACCAAAAGTGGTGTTCATTAACGGCTAATATGTGTTAAAAACGTTTTAAAAATTATAAATATTTAATGTTTTTATATAAAAACTAATGTGTGCCCTGATCATAATTTACCAATAAATACAATTGGTTTTAATAAAAATTTAATTCTAATAAAAAT